CCCCAAAACCCCAAAACCCCAAAACCCCAAAACCCCATAAACTCAGGTTAAGTTGAAATATAAGTTTTACTTAGCTGTCTTTGGTCTTCTAGGTTTCGACTGTTTTTCAATATCTTCAAGTACTTTCTCATAATCTTTTAAATACTCCTCTATGCAACATTACAATTTGCTTCAAGTTTTACTTACTCAGCATCTCAAAAGTTCTACAGAACTTCTCCTTGAGCTTCATATACTCATGGGTGATTCTCTTCTTGGCCTTGACTGAATACTTATTGCCTTGTTTATTCTGCTCTTCATTAGTAGACTGAGCTATGATATCATCAATTGCTTGGATGACTTTGAACACCTCCTTCATCTTGTTAATTCTAACATCATTTCTCTCTTCAAAATGAGTTTTCAATTTGGCCTTCAGTTTATTTTTCAAGTTCTTCCACTAACTTTCTCTTCTGGGCAATTTTATTGTTCAGAGCTATCTTTTTGGTGATCAAATCTATGGATTAGACTGGCAAAGATACCGTTCACACTGAATGTTTTCCCGAATACCTTTACTTGAGAAAGAGACTCGATTTCATTATTCAACTCATCAATAACAGATTGGAGCTTATTCTTGGTTTCTCTTTCCTAAGGAATAAATACCCTTTAGATTACCTTGTTGAAATTAGTGATATCGTTAACATCAATGGTCTGGCCAATGTTGTCAGGATTACTCTAAATTATCATCAATAATAGTTTAAGATATAGCATACATTTATATAAGTGACTAACTCTTCATATATCTTCATTTTGTTGGCCTTTGCTTCCTTCTCCTCAAATTCTGCTTTAGCTTTTGCTACTTCAGCTCTAAGATCTATAAGTTAGTAACTAAAAGAGAACAATAAATAGTTTTATTTGCTCGATTTGTCAAATTCTTCCCATTCTGCTCCTCTCAAACCTACAAATTAGGCTTAATATGTACCTAGCTTGCTTGTCTCTTGCTCTGCTTTGTTCTAAAAGTTTGAAGAAGGCATGAGTTACCTCTTCAAGATATTTACTAAACCTTATCAGGGACTCTTGAATTTTAAGATCTTTTTCCCTCAAGTCATTCTCTTCCTTTTTGAACTACATTGTAAGACGAGTTGAATTGCCTTGACTTCTTTCTGTTTGAAATTATCTTTCTCCTTTTCCAATGCTTCTTGAGTTTCCTGTAAGTTAGAACTAAATAGTTACATATAACTCTTTGCGTTTCTCAAGTAATTTTGTAGCAGGTGTAATGAACTCATCATTATTCAGGATCATATTTCTTCTTCTGAAAAACCTTGTTTGGGACTAGACTTTAGTTATTGACCTGTATTCACAGTTTGGCAGGCTGCATTGACTGAGAATTTAATTTAAACAAGTGGGCTAACCTTGGAGGCTCTTTTGTTCATTTTCAATTTGAATTATTTAAAAAGGGGTTTTGGGGTTTTGGGGTTTTGGGGTTTTGGG